TTGATCACATTTGTAGGGTTTCTCTCCACTATGTGTTCGTTTATGTACTTGGAGACTATTGTGCCTCTTAAAGGCTTTACTACATTGATTACATACATAGGGTTTCACTACAGTATGTGTCCTTTTATCAATTTGGAGATTACCTTGACCTGCAAAGGCTTGACCACAGTGGTTCCATTCATAGGGTTTCTCTCCAGTATGAACTCTTTTATGCTTTCGATGGCAACTACATTGTGCAAAGGCTTTACCACACTGATTACATTCATAAGGTTTCTCTCCAGTATGAAGTCCTTCATGCCTTTGAAGGTGATTGTGATGTGCAAAGGCTTTACGATGTTGAGTACCTTCGTGGGATTTCTCTCCAGCATGTTTTTGAGGATGACTGTGATATGCAAACACTTTATCATACTGAGTATATACAGAAGGTTTTTCTACAGTATGACTTCTTTCATGCCTGCAAAGATAATCAAAATATGTAAAAGCTTTACCGCATTCACGACACTAATGAATCTTTTTATCTCTCTGAATGAGTTTTGCAATTTGTTCTAATGGCAAAGAGGAATAAGATCTTAAGGTTTTAACACATTGTTTACATTCATGGTGTCCCCTTTCATTATGGGTTAGTTTTGTGTCTTTGAAGACACCTTTAATGGTAAGAGCATTTATTATATGGTTCATTTTATAACATCCTTGTTCTAAATGAGATTTTTTTTTCATATTTGAAGAGAAATAGAAGAACTCGAAGCTTTACCCCACTAATTGCATTCATAAATTTCCCTATAGTGTGAGTCTTTTAGCATATGCAAAGTTAACCAGGATATACAGAAAATTTCCACTTTCCTAGCACAAATTGGAATTTTCTGCAGTGTGAGTTTGTGGTTGTATTCCCAATTAAGTTGGAAAACAAATTAATTACAAACTTTTATCACACTCAGAAAGTCTATTCAAGGTGGGGACTAATACATATCTTCTAAGTCTACTGGAAGAGAGGTACACTGCTTCTTTTAATATCCCTGTGCTCACATGGTTTGGATCCATTGTGACCATATACCTACTGAAAGAATAATGTCAAATGAAAGGTTTAAACATTGGATTCACATAATTCGACTTTTTGTTCTTCACAGAGATGTGGTACTTAAGGTTTCTACACAACAACCTTCTTTACTCTAATAAACTGTCCGCTTCATTAAACTTAACGATACTATAGTGCATAAGTAACACCAGCTTCATTATGGAATCGTTGCTTATTAGAGGCTTTGGACATGTACTTAGCACCTGTTCAATGTGCATACTTTTCTCAACATCTAAGTTGTATGAGATTAAACAGATTGGCAGTTCTATAACATAGTGCGAAGGGGCTGATTCAAATAGTGATACCTGTTTAGGCACTGTCTCCCTGTCTTCTTTCTTAGACAAATGACTTGCAAACACAAATCAAATACCTAACCCTGAGGCACATGGTTTTGTAAAAATTTAATAATCATTGATACACTTAAAATCAGTTTTTTTTACACTGTTGCTTTTCTTTAAAATTTTCTTAAGAGGCATATTCCTATCAGCCTGCACCTGAAAATTACCTTCCATGTCTTCCAGAACCTTGAAAATGTTCAATATTATGGTCTTCCCAATTGTAACCTAAAATAGAGTAGCAGAAAATGTATGATATATTATTGAAAATTAGGCAAAATTGCAGCTGCTATCTTCAGTGAACCTTAGAACAATTCTTGGTTTATTCACCTTATTCATCTTCATCCTCATTTGAAATTACAAAAGAGCATCAATAACAAAGAAACAGTTGCCCCCTTGTTTTAAAATGCCAAAGAAAATTCACTGTCTTACCTATAGCAGTGAGGTTCCTATAGGTTTCCAGCATCACATCCTTGTAGAGCCTCTTCTGGGAAGGATCCAGCAAAGCCCACTCTTCTCCAGTGAAGTTTACATGCACGTCATCATAGGTCATTCCATTCTAAAATATCCCATACAAGGGTAAAATAAAAAGTATGCTACTGGGCTGGAGAGATGGCTTAGTGGTTAAGAGCACTGACTGTACTTCCAGAGGTCCTGAGTTCAAATCCCAGCAACCACATGGTGGCTCACAACCATCTGTAATGAGATCTGATGCCCTCTTCTGGTGTGTCTGAAGACAGCTACAGTGTATTCATATATAATAAATAAATAAATCTTTAAAAAAAAAAAAGCATGCTACTGACAAGACTGTAACTGTATACTTCATTGGCAACATAATTCTGGTGCTTCTCCAACTTATTTCCTGATACAGATGTTCTACTGTAATCACTAAGCCATTTTAGAAGGAAAATAAATAATGAGTTTTACCTCAATCATTTCAGAGCTCTTTGAATAGGATATTGCCTTGCAAGAGAAATGTCAGTTGATAAACATAAAAAGAGACAAGCAAACAGATGAAAAGTATGGAAAAGACATCAGAGAAATTGTATGAACTATTACTAAGTACAAAATATGACATCAAGCTAGTTGTATTGGCTTGTGCCTTTAATCCCAGCACACAGGAAAAAGAGAAAGGGGTATTCATGAGTTGGATGCCAAGATGGTCTATGTAACAATTTCTAGGACAGCCAGAAGTCTCCCATACAAAAATAAATCAAACAAACAAAAAAGACAGAACTCAGAAGCTTTTTACTGAAGTTCCTCCAAGAAATTGTACCTGCAATCCAGTTCTATATTCATCTTCCAGAAAATCAAGATGGCCTAGTTTGAACTATAGTGTAAGTAAAATATTACTAAGAGGAAATGGACAGATGATAGGATAAGCAAAGTAAATGTGGGTCACAGATAAGAAACACAGGGCAGAAGAGACTGCTCCCCCGTGACGAGCTCTTGCTGGTCATGCTAATAGCTGGGCTCATCTGCCAGTGCTTACATTTGGGCTCACAACTATCCATTATTCACAGTTCAGGTCTTCTGAAGTCTGTTTCTGACAACTCTGAGGATCTGACACATGAGATGCTTATTCATGCACACAGGGAAAATACTCATACCCATTTAAAAAACAAAACAGGTATAAAGACTATTACAAATTTACAATATAATGACTCAATAGGCGTAGGTATTATTAACGTCATGAATACATGCTATCCTGAGAAAGAAAATATACTCTGCTAAATTTCAAAATTTAAGATGTGGACGAAGATCACTAGAAAAATATATTCTTCATGTGTACAAAAACCTACATTCCAGGTCCATCACCCAATAATATAAAAACAAAAAATGCCAGGCATGTTGGTCCACATTTAATCCCAGAACTCTCGAGGCAGAGGTAGATGAATCTCTAAGTTTAAAGCCTGCTTGGTCTACATAGCTACTTTAAGGTCAGCCAGGACTACACAGAGAAACTTTATCTTCAAAAACAAAAGCAACAAAATTAGAAACATGAAAACATCACCATAGCAAAATAGCTTAGCACTGGGTAGCAACTGCCACTACTGTATGTTAGATGAATTAGAGAGAGAGTCTATAATGGTGAAGACGAAACTGCAAGAGGCAGAACCTGACTGATCAGGTTCAACAGCAACACAGTAGATGCAAAGTACAGAAAATGGGTTGAGCCTATGGACACTTAAATTTAAAACCCAATGACAAATGTAGAAAGGTTGCTTCTACAAAAGCTACCATAAGGTCCCCAAAGAAACAAAGGAGGGACAAGTGTCATCCCATGTTGAAAATGCATTTAGTCTAACTTCAAAATCAATCCATCTTGCTTCCTTCTCTACTTTTCTTCTCCATCCTGTCTCTGCAACTTTTAGCTCTGCCTCCCTTTTCCCTGTCCAATCACAGGCCTCCTGCTCAACTAATATTTAAATTAATTGGACAGGGAAAATCCTGCCACAGCTATCATTATATTATAATTAATAGAATCACACAATATAGATGGCATCACTAATAAAAGGAGACACAAAGACAGACCTATGAATATAACAGAGTCCTATAAAGAAGTGCACGAAGTATAGTCAAAATCAAAACCAAAGAAATCACTGGCGATCACTCACCCTGTGCACTCTGCTTCTTTCCTATACCAATAACAGAAAATGGATTGGGAGTGGAGGGCTATCCCAACTGGAGAGATTCAACCCCAGCATAAAATGGTTCAATAGTGCAGAAATAGTTTTAACTATTAAAAATATATCCTTCTCTTATGATAAAGAAAAAGATATCTGTTGAGATCACTTATACACCATTTTGTTCCCTATGATTGATAATTGGATATAAATCCTCCTTAGGAGGAGCTAAGGTGGGAGGAGTAAGGAGAGGAAGAGGAGGAGTTGGGAGAGGAAGAGTAAAAAGGAAGAGGAGGAGCTAGAGAGGGCAGAGATGTAGGAGGATGAAGAAACACACAGGTATGGAGAACACTCATGAGGAACAACTTACAAACTTATAATTAGGTTAGCTAATTGGGATACAACTCTCTTTGTATGGGCATCTTGTTATTAATCATTATCAAACATATAAAGCCTTTGATTAATCTATAAGAATTAGAGTCTCATTCTCTTACTGGGTCTGCATGGATAGCAGAATGGTCTGGGCAATGCCCTGCCTTGAGGAGACAGCGTGGAAGATTGGCAGAGCCATCTCTCACACTGGCATCTAGTGGGTGGCAGGGCTGGTGTTTCTGGTGGGCCGGTTCTAGCTGCAGCACGCACTTGGCCTCAGGCCGAGAAACATGGCAGTTGGGCTAGGCAGAGCCACTGCAGCTTAGATAGTCGGATGAACCAGAGGTCAGTTTTAGATAATTACCACAACAAAATGGCGCCCAACATTTATGAGCTTTGAATGGGTGTTGTTTAATGAACTTAGGTCAAACCCCAAGAAAAGTATTTACTGAATGACCTGCTCATCCCACATAATACATTTTATCCTATAAGTCCTTCACAAATTAACAACAAAATTCTAAATATATACACAGTAAATAAATAAGCCCTGGGAATCTGATGCCTCAGTATTAAGACACTGGGTATAGGACCAAGTAGGAGGCCTCCAAACCTTTGCCACTCCCTGTTACCTGAGATCTAATACGCAGGGTTTCCCCTAGTGATTAGCTTCCTCTCCCCATACCCATGACTCCAGTAGATACCACAGACATCCGCATGATATTGGCTGTTGGTTTGCTCTATATTGCTTTTACTACATTTAGGTATGTGCCATGAATCCCTGGTCTCTCTAAGACTTTTAACATGAACTACCAGCAGTTGTATTTTGTTGAAGGCTTTTTCAGCATCTAATGAGGTGATCATGTGGCTTTTTTTCCTTGAGTTTGTTTATATATTGTATTACATTGATGGATTTTTCATATATTGAAACATCCCTGCATCCCTGGGATAAAGCATAGTTGATCATAGTGAATAATAGTTTTGATGTGCTCTTAGATTCTGTTTGTGAGAATTTTATTGAGTATTTTTGCATTGATATTCAAAAGTGGAAATGGATTGAAGTTCCCTTTCTTTGTTGGGTCTTTGTGTGGTATAGGTATCAGAGAAACTGTGGCTTTATAGAATGAATTAGATAGTGTTCTTTCTGATTCTATTTTGTGGAACAGTTTAGTTATTTGCATTAGCTCTTCTTTGAAGGTCTTGTACAATTCTGCACTGAAATTATCTGGACATGGGCTGTTTTTTGGTTGGGAGGTTTTTGATGACTATTTCTATTTAGGGTGGGGGGCGGTTATGGGCCTCTTTACATAATTTACTTGATCTTGATTTAAATTTGGTACTTGGTATCTGTCTATAAAGTCATCCATTTCATCTAGATTTTCCAGTTTTGTTGAGTATAGATCCATCTTATGGCAATGGGGCACCAAGCCCTGATACTATTACTCATGTTGTGAAGTGCTTACAGATAGGAGCCTGGAATGACTGTCCTCTGAAAGACCCTACCAGCAGCTGACTGAGACAGAAGGAGATCCATTGGACTGAAGTCAGGGAAACCTATGGTTGAATTGGAGGAAGTATAAAAGAAGCTGAAGGGAGAGTGACCCTATAAGAAGACCAGCAGTCTTAACTAACCCAGATCCCAGAGAGCTCCCAAAGACTGAGCCACCAATCAGGAGCATAAGTGGGTCAGACCGAGACCTCTGGCACAAATAAAGGAGAAGCCTGCCTATTCAGATCTCAGTGTGAGAAGATGTACATAATCCTTAAGAGACTTGGGGCCCAGTGAAGGAGGCCTGGTGAGGGGAGAGTAGACTCTTCGAGGCAAGGGGGGAGGAGGAACAGGATGTGGAACTATAGGAGAGGGGATTGGGAGGTGGACATGAAACGGAATGTAAATAAATAAAAATAAAGTAAAAATAAATTTATAAACAGAGTGAGAAAGAAATCAGGCAAAGAACACCCTTCACAAAATCCTCAAATACTGTAAAATATGTTGAAGTAACTCTAAAAAAGCAAGTAAAAGACTTCTATGATTTAAAAAAAAACTACAAGTCTTTCAAGAAATAAATTAAAAAATTATCAGAAGGTGTAAAAATCTCTCATGTTCATGGATCAGTAGGATTAACAGAGTAATAATGGCCATCCTATTCAAAACAATCTACAGATTCAACATAGTCCCATCAAAATTCAAACAAAATTGTTTACAGACTTTGAAAGAATAATTCCCACCTTGTATAAAAGTACCAAAAAAAAAAAAATGAGGCTGGCTAAAACAATCCTGAAAACAAAAGAGCTGCATGGAATTTGTATGAAAACAGACACATTGCTCAATGGAGTCAAACTTAAGATTTAGACATAATCCCACCCACATAAGATATCCAGAAATACACAATAGGAAAAAAAAAAAAAAAGAACCATCAACAAGTGGTGCTTGTTAAACTGTATTCCTGCATATATATGAGCGTAAATCTATCCATATTCATTACCATGCACAAAACTCAAGTTCAAAGGTCTTTGGATCAAAGACCTCAAAATAAGACTAGATACACTGAAACTGATAGACGGGAAAGAAGGGAACGACCTTGAACATATGGCACAGAAACAACCTTCTGAACAGAGTACCAATAGTGCAGACACGAAGATTAAAAACTAATAAAT